CCCACGCCGGGACACGGACCCGGCGTCGCTGCGGGGACCTCCTCGCTAGGCCCGGCCGGCCACGCCCGAGGGTGGTCCCTTTCTGACCCCGGACCACCCCTGCTTCTTCCCTCGCGTCCGGCAGGCCCGCGTCGAGAGGGCCCGCTTTACTCCTCCCCTTTCTCCGCCTCCCGCGGCGTCCGCGCGGAGAGGCGTCGCCCCGGATCTGAGGTTCTGGAGGAAGGCTCCTTTTTTTGGAAGAAGGATAAATTCACCTTCTAGGTGAGTCTATCCCAGGGGGAGGAAGGAGGGAGAGGAGGAGGAGGAGGATCTGTCCTGTAGTTCATGGGGGTGGTATGCTGGTGGAAGGGGATGCGATGCCTCAAAGAGAAGTGAGGTTGGAAAAAAAGTAGTGTTGTAACCCGAAAATATTTGGGGTGGTTCTAAGGCTGGATGATGAATTAAACCCAAAATGACTATTTTCAGTAAGTTGCCCTCATTCAACGGGCTCTCATAGAGAACCGTAGTATTAAGATTTAAATCTTTAAGAGTGTATTTGTGAATTATTTCTTAAAAGCCGCGTGCTCCAAGAAGGGTCTTTTGCTTCCAGAAAAAATACCTCAGTGCATAAAACTGACTCCTTCCGTCTCAAAACAGGTGACCTGTGCCCTGGAGTTAGGGAGCATTGTGCTATGGATTATGTGAAACCACAAAATAAACATGGTAAATTTTATTGAGGGAAAACAGCACAGCGGCTTTTGTGTTCAAAACTAGCATGAATAGTACATTATGAAGTAGAAGCCAACATTTGTATCAAGTATACACGTTTTCTTTCTTGAAGTTTCTTGCTAGAGACTGCCTTCAAGTTGGGAGGTTTGCGTTTAGTATCTACCCTTGAGATACTTAATTGGAAAAGTTTAGAGGCACAGGGATCTACCCTTATTTCCTTATGAATCATACCTAGAATCGTAGCATCAGAGCCCAAAGCAGTTTGTGATTTTTTTTAATCTGTAATATTTGAACTTGAAAATGTTTTCTGTGCTAAGTAAATACATCAAAACTAAAATTTATTTGATATTCAGCTTAATATGGTACTTATAATAGAAAGACCAAACGAAAATGTAGCCTTTGGCACAATCTAGAAGCAGTCAGAAAAGAGGGTTAAGATGTCCTGAGAGTTTCCATCAAAAGCCAGATTTCTGGATCTTTGAGGAAAATGAGATCTGGCAACACTAGATCCACACCACATGGCAATCAGTTAGCTGCACCCTTTAGACTCACATGTTGTCATTTTTGCCACAGTTCCTCACCACTTTTTATTGCATCACACTTGAGTCACTCATTTTCATTATAGGTCTATATGATAGAGGTATTTGAATTTGTAGCCCTAGTTTTTGTAGTATTTTTCTTTTCGTTTGACTTGCATAGATAATGTCAGCTTTGACTTAATCTCAAGAGAAATAAACAGAATGCAAATTTGTTTGACTTAATGGAATGTGAAAGGTATTTTAAATGACGAATTATCAAGAGATTTTGGAAAGATTTTCAGATGTGTAAATTCAAGAAAAATGTAGGAATCCTTAAAAATAACATATTAGTACTGGTGAAAGATACTATACATGTAGTTTTGATGAATATGAAGCAGAAAGATGCTATTATGTGTGTTTTATTAACATTTACTGAGTTTGCATTGTAAATGAAGAAAATGAGCAATGGACAATGTATAAAATATCTCCAGCCGATTTAAAATGTGGCTCTGCTTTTAATAGTATTGTGATCTGTTTAATTTCTTCCCAAAATTTTAATTTATGTAGATTTAACACAACTCTAGTTTTATTAAATTCTTTGGAATGATATGATTTAAGAGCACTAGATAGGTCAGGCCATCCCAAAGAAGAATTAACTATATATTTTTTTGTTAATCTGGATTTACAACACTTGCTTATTCAGGAATGGATTAACTGATGACCAGGCTCTGACCTCACTAACTGCCCAACTGCTTTCTAAGCCACTGATAATGAAGCTTAAGCTTTGAGGAGGGAGATGACAGTTGCCGTATATGTCTGTGTACATCTCAGATTGCTTTCTAAAGTCAAATGCAAAAATTGTAGGACTGAATGCCATTTTTGTGTAACTAATACTATTGCTGCTCTCCACTCTGGTATAGATAATAGCAGAGTTCAATTAATAAGTGCTTATTAAATAACTTTCCAAATATATTTTACCAGCCAGTTTTTTTTCTGTGTGTGTTTTTAGTAATAGATTTTTAGGATTCATATATCATGAAATTCACTATTTTAAAGTATCCAGTGCAGTAGCTTTTAATAAATTCACAAAGTTGTGCCACCACCACTAATTTCAGAAACACTCGCATTACATAAAAAAAAGAAAATCCCTTACCCATTAGAAGTCACTTCGTAGTTTTCCGTCCCCCCAGCCTCTGACAACCTCTAATGTACTTTTTGTTTCAATAAACTCATCTATTCTGGAGATTTCATGTAAATGGAATCATAATATCATATGTGGACTTATGTGACTGGCTTCTTTCACTGGGCATAATTTTTTCTTTTTATTTTGTTTCCTTTTTTTTTTTTTTTGAGTTGGAGTCTCACTCTGTCACCCAGGATGGAGTGCATTGGCATGCTCACAGCCACCTGCTGGGCTCCGGTGATCCTTCTGCCTCAGCCTTCCAAGTAGCCGAAACTACAGCCACGCGCTATCACGCCTGGCTAAATTTTTTTAATTTTATTTCTTTTTTATTTTTTTTATTTTTTATTTATTGTAGAGATGAGGTCTTGCCGAGTTGCCTGGGCTAATCTCGAACCTGCGGGCTCAAGCAATCCACTCTCCTAGGCCTCCCAAAGTGCTGGGATTACAGGCTGAGCCACCAAGTCTGGCATCTATAATTTTTTCAAGATGTGTTTCTGTTCGTGTTGTAGCATGTATCGATGCCATCCTTTTTTGTTGACAAATATTACTCCATTGTATGAATATATCATATTTTTTAATCTCTTCATCAATTGATGAACAATTGGATTGTTTCTACATTATTCATAACGTCGATAAAAACATTTGATCACAATTTTTTTATGGATACATGTTTTCATTTTTCTTGAATATGTAGTGGAATTCTTGGGTCATGTGGCAACTATATGTAACCCCTTACAGAACTGCCAGACTGTTTTCCAAAGTGGCTGTATCATTTTACATTCCTGTCAGTAGTGTATGAAGGTTTCAATTTCTCTAAATCGTCACCAACACTTAATATCATTGTCCTTTTGATTGTAGCCATTCTGATGGATGTAAAGTAGTACACCTCGCTGTGGTTTTGATTTGTATTTCCCTGATGATTAAGATATTCATCATCTTTTTTTGTGTTTGTTGGTCATTTGATAATCTTTGGAAAAAGCCTTTTCAGATTCTTTGCCCGTTTGTATATCTTTTTTATTTATTTTGAGTTTTGGTCTCACTCCGTTGCCCTTTGGCAGCCTCCAATTCCTGGTGTAAGCCATTGCACCCAGCCCCGTTTATATATCTTTGGAGAAATGTCTCTTCAAATCCTTTGCCTGTTTTTTAGTTGGGTTATTTATCATTTTATTATTGAATTGTAAATCTTTAAATATATATTCTAGATACAAGTTCCTTATCATATTTTGATTTGCATATATTTTCTCAATTCCATGGGTTGTCTTTTCACTTTCTTGGTGGTGTTCCTTGAAACACAAGTTTTAAATTTTGATAAAGTTCAGTTTATATGTTTTTACTTTGTCGCTTGTGCCTTTGGTGTATGTGTTCCAACACCAATTCTCTAACACCAGCTGAATGTCCTAAACTTCATTTCTGACACTAACTACCTGTGGTTGGCATCAGATCCCACAAATTAAAGGGCAAGTTCTCCAATAAGATTTCCCTTAATTCGAACAACAGCTGTAAGTGGAGTCCCTAGGCTACCCACACTTTTGCCTTGCCAACTGAAATTCAAGGCTTCCCACAATCCTTTCAGGGTTGATAGTTCACAAAAAATGACTCGCATAACTCACTGAAAGTGCTAAACTTGCAGTTACAATTTTATTATATAGGAAACAACTCAGAAACAGGCTAATGGAATGGACACATAGGGAAAAGTCTAGGGGCAGGGAAGGAATGCAGAGTTTCTATGCCATTTTGTGAAATCCCGGTACGTTGGCTTTTCACCATACTAGTTTGCTCACCAACAAGGAAGCTTCACTGATTATCAGTGAGCCGAATTTTTATATGGAGTTCCATTACTTTGGCATGATTGATTAAATCATTGGCCACATGACTGAACTCAAACTCAAGCCCTACTCCCCTTCTTGGAGGCTGGTCTGGCCAGTTTATTCCTCTCATCATCTGGTTGATCTTTCTGGTGAACTGCCCACCATCCTGAAGCTCTATGGGGGCCTAAGATGAGGCGCCACATGAGCATAACAAAGGCACTCCTGTCTCCAGAAATTCAGAGGTTTTTGGAACTATTGGAAACCAGATATTTTGGAACTATTGGAAACCAGGTATCTAGAGAGACCAGATATTCAACAGTGTCATGTCCCCTAGCCAATTTTAAAGTTAGTTTGTATACAGCACTCAGTGACAAAGGAGAGTCACTCAGGACACACTGCCAACTTCTCCCATCTTTCACTTTAAAAATTTAATAGTGGCAAATTTCCACAAGCAAGTAGAGAGGTGCCCTGCTGTTAATGTAATCTGTTCCACTGTTTTATGTTGTACCCTGCAAAGTATGGTCACAGAAGCATATGAAAAGCTAAGTAATTTCTGTTGCAGAAATATTGGAAGGATTCGTCTTCTCGGTTGTCATTAAAAGAGAAGATTCCATTGATACAACAGACTTCATTTCTTTTTTTATTTTTTTTTTTGAGTTGGAGTCTCACTCTGTCACCCAGACTGGAGTGCAGTGGCCGCTCCCAGCCACCACAGCCTCGACCTGCTGGGCTCCGGCGATCCTTCCGCCTCGGCCTTCCAAGTAGCTGGAACTACTCAACCCAGCCTCCCAAAGGCGCGGGATTACAGGCTGAGCCACCGAGCCCGGCTTATTATTTTGTTTTTATTTTTATGTATTTATTTTTTTTAGAGTTGGAGTCTCACTCCGTCACTGGAGTGCAGCGGCCTCTACCTGCTGGGCTCCGGCGATCCTTCCGCCTCAGCCTTCCGAGTAGCCGGAACTACAGGCGCGCGCTACCATGCCCGGCCAATTTTTTGATTTATTGTATAGATGAGGTCTCGCCAAGTTGCCCAGGTGGGTCTCAAACCCGCGGGCTCAGGCAGTCCACTCACCTCAGCCTCCCAAAGGCACGGGATTACAGACTGAGCTACCGAGCCCAGCTCAGACTTCATTTCTTACAATAAGGATTACAAGGATTGCACTTAGAGATTACCTCTCTTAGACATTCTTCCTAGACTTAAAAATTCATTTTGCTGCTTGGTCTAGAAAAGATATTGAATGCCTAATATTAAATATATTGGAAAAACAGAAATACTGTTTTCTGATGACACTTTTACTCAGCACTTACTACTTTCTTAGTAGGTTTTTCATTTTTTCTTGATTACAGTTTCATTACTTGCATATAATACATTTATTATTTTATTCTGAATACAGAGTATATCTTAAGCGCTTGTATTAAGTTTTTTATTACACATACTGAGACTTGTCAAAATAAATGTGCTGTGGGAAAGAGAAACCAATCATGCATAAATGATTCAGAAAATCTACTTTAATGATATTTGGCTTTGTTTAAGTATATATTAACAATTACTTAAAAGCAGTAAGAAAGATAAAAAATAAGAACTGGTCCCTGCTTTCAGGGAAGCCAATGATGTAGCTAGACATGATCACAATGAATAATACAAGGGAAAGAATTTGAGGGGAAAAGAAATTTTGAGGATTAGTTTGGAACCCTTAAATCTACCACTTAGGCCTTGGTACTGGAAAGTAAGTGTAATAGAATAATCTGATATTAAATGTCATCTCAGTATTGCTTATCTAACAAATACAGCTAATAAGCAGAAATAGACAGATTGAAGTGCCACCAGAGACTGTTTTTGTGGAAACCAAGGGAAAAGCAAGCAATGTCTAATGCAATGCAAAGATCAAAATAAGATAATTATTTTTGCAAAATAAGGTAATTTTTTTTTACTGGAATTGGCAATTAAGATTCAGTCTTTGAGAAGCCTGTTGATTTTCTCAGTTTTTTGGATTGAAAGGTAGAGGTAAAAGCCAATTTGAAAAGAGAGTAAGAGCAAATATGAGAAGCAGCAGCCACTGCACCAGTAGTGTCAGCCTATATTGTACTCAATTAACATAAATCCATCCCTAATGACTAATAGGACATCTCTGATATTCCCTGAGGCTTAGACCTAACACAAGCAAATTTATACTAGAGTTTTATTTGTAATGTTGACACTAATATTTTCTTTTTCTTTTTTTTTTTTTTTTGAGTTGGAGTCTCACTCTGTCACCCAGACTGGAGTGCAGTGGCTGCTCCCGGCCACTGCGCCTCAACCTGCTGGGCTCCGGCGATCCTTTCGCCGCAGCCTTCCGAGTAGCTGGAACTACAGGCGTGCGCTACCATGCCCGGCTAATTTTTTGATTTTACTGTAGAGATGAGGTCTCACCAAGTTGCCCAGGTGGGTCTCGAACCCGCGGACTCAGGCAGTCCTCTCACCTCAGCCTCCCAAAGGCATGGGATTACAGGCTGAGCCACCGAGCCCAGCGACACTAATATTTTCAACACAATTCAAATCACTGTCCCACTCAAACCACGGCCTCACATCGAAAAGGTGGGGCTCTTCATCCTCGCATGCACTTATCCCCACACATGACGTGTTCCCCTCTCTGAGAACCCAGTCTTTTCATTGCTTTCCTATCTCCCAAACTTTCCACATGCCATTAGGAACTCTGTGTCTCCTGTCAGATGGGAACTTTGTCAACTGTTTTATCCTACTCCCTCAAACCTATTCTTACCCATACCCTTTACCCTTGAAAGGCAAAGGAGGTGGAGTTATCCCTTTTGCTATCAATAAGCCAGTCTCAACCTGGATGCTCTAAACTCATTCTGCCTCACTTCTTTTAGGATTCTCACTCCCTAAGTTATTCTCTTTATCTATTGTTGTCTTTAACTCTCCAAATTGAGTCTTTCAACTTCTACCTCTATGTCCTCCCATTGAAAAAGGTAGAGATTTTTCCTCTAGGTTCTCTTCTCTTCCCTTCCTCGTAGTTTGTAACTATGCTTTTATAAGATAGTCTGCCTGTGAAGTCTCTTCCTCACTGCATATGCTCCTGATCTTATTGTAATTAAGGTATTTCTTGGGCAACTCTACCGCAGTTGCTTTTCCTAGTCACTTCTATTTGTTAAATCCAGTGGCCACTTTGTGGCTTTAGCCTTTTTACTTGATCTCTGACCATTTGACATTACCAGCCATTCACTCCTTGAAATTATTTTTCTTGTGGTCCATGATATCACTCTCTCCTGGTTTCCTTTATGTGCTCCTTGTTTTCTGTCCTTAAAGGACCCATCTCTCCTTAGCTCTTGTTAATTTTCACCAGGATTCCGTCCTTAGCCTTCCCCACAATGTAAAAACATGCTCAAGTATATATCCTCTTCAAAACAATATTTGTTTCACCCTTTGTTCCTCTTTAAGTTACTACCTTATCAGTCAGCATGTCTTTATGGCTATGCCAGTACATTTAAACAGTTCCTTTTCTAGAATATAAAGACACAGAGCAGGATTTCAGAAATCTTTACCTGGAATGCCAGTTTGCCTTCTCTGGACAAGTCTCTGGATTATTGAGTCTGCATTATTTTATCCTCTGTAGCTCATTCATAGTACTTTTTTAAAAAACTACAGCACTTAATTACATTTTTCACTGTAATTCTACTTCCCCAATAATGTGATTTTCCTGAGAACAGGAAAATTATTTTTGGTCTTTTTAATGGCACAGAAATACCCCTCATGTCTTATACATAGTATGTATTCAATAAATGCTGGATGAAGTTTTTTTGTTGGTGGTTCTGTTTTGTTTGCCACGAGCAGAAGCCCAGTGCGCTTTGATTGAGGGACCTGGGTAAACAGCTATATTTACTATGAACAGTATAGTAAGCATACTGATGGACTGATAAAGAAGTACTTCATTCCTGATACCGTAGTTGCTCCCATCAGGAGGATGAAGAGCGATATAACTGTCAGATAGCTAGTTCTAGTAGTTTTAAAGATAATGGAAGGAAAAAAGTGAGGGTAGTTATAGATGACAAACTAAGTAAACACAGTTGATAGGATATTAATCAATTAGGATGCTCTCAACTACAGGTAACAGAAAACCTAAAAATGACTTGAGCAATAAAGATACATTTATGTCATAATAGAAAATGTGTAAGTAGGGCAGTTTCAGGTAGATTGATGATACCAAGGACCCAGGTTCCCTCTGTTTTATCTGCTTTGCCATCTTTATATATTGGTGTGTCCTCTTAAACTGGCTCCCCCCTTAAGGTCTCAAGATGGCAGTCACCATTCCAGGTATCACTTGCAAATGAAAATGTCTCAAGGCAGAAAAAGGAACGTTTGTTTTTAAGAGTCTGAGCCCCTCTTAAGAGTAAAGAAAACCTCAAAAGTATTCCCAGCAGACTTACCACATCATACTGGCCAGGTTCATTGACATGTGCTCAATTGCCTCTACCAGGCATGTGGCAAGGGGAATGAGAGCACCATGATTATTGGGTCTGGGTTCAACAGCACCAGTATCACCGGGGAACATGTGATAAATATACTTGTGTACGTCTCACCCCATACCTACTGAATAATTAAAGAAACTCGAGAAGTTGAGGGAGAGGGTGATGATCCAGGAGTCTGTGTTTTAACTTCTAGTAATTTTGATGCAAACAGTTTCAGAACCACTGGCTTAGAGCAGCAATCAAGAGTCATCTATTGGGTTTAGGGAAAAAACTAGCCTCCTTTGAAGGATATGAGACCAGGAAGACAAAAAGAAGCAGAGAGAATGGATGTTGGATAGGCAACCAAAAATGTCTACCCAGTTCTTCAGGGAGTAACATCTTTCTTAGTGTCAGCTGCTATTGCAGTCCCTTCCCCTTTTATTCTCTATCTGGTCCTGAAAATGTCATACTGACCTACCTACTTAATGTAAAATCAACACACTATACCTCAAAAATGTTACTCCATAGTTGTGGCTTCTAATTATCATGCTGCTGTGGCTATAATGTAGTGTAACTGTTTGCTGTGAAGGTGTTAGAGTTTCCTTAGATTATAAAAATATGAATATAAAACAAAACCATTTTAGAAACTTAAGATGATACCAGTAATCATTTCTAGGTAGTCAGATTTTTTTCTCTTTATTTTCTGCCTTTTCTAATTTTTTAGGACATTCATATTTATTTTGTACTAAGAAAAATACTGTTGCTCTTAAGAGATATATTTAAATTAAGAGTTCATAACACTTCAATAAGCATAGATTAATAAATACTATTTTCCTTCTTTTAATTTTATTATGCCCATATAGTTGTAATAACATTTTCCTTTTTGATAGGTTTCCTAAAAGACAGAAAAAATGGAGGAATCTGTACACCAAATGCAACCACTAAATGAGAAGCAGATAGCCAATTCTGAGGATGGATACGTGTGGCAAGTCACTGACATGAATCGACTACACCGGTTCTTGTGTTTTGGCTCTGAAGGTGGGACTTACTATATCAAGGAACAGAAGCTGGGCCTTGAAAATGCTGAAGCTTTAATTAGATTGATTGAAGATGGCAGAGGATGTGAAGTGATACAGGAAATAAAGTCGTTTAGTCAAGAAGGCAGAACCGCAAAGCAAGAGCCTATGCTCTTTGCACTTGCTGTTTGTTCCCAGTGCTCTGACATAAGCACAAAGCAAGCAGCATTTAAAGCTGTTTCTGAAGTTTGTCGCATTCCTACCCATCTCTTTACTTTTATCCAGTTTAAGAAAGATTTGAAGGAGAGCATGAAATGTGGCATGTGGGGTCGTGCCCTCCGGAAGGCTATAGCTGACTGGTACAATGAGAAGGGTGGCATGGCCCTTGCTCTGGCAGTTACAAAATATAAACAAAGAAATGGCTGGTCTCACAAAGATTTATTAAGATTGTCACATCTTAAACCTTCCAGTGAAGGTAAGTGTATGATCTTCATTGGGGGAAGAGGTGGGTGAGGGCCCTTCAATAAATAGTACATTTTTACTTGACATAAGACAAGTATGTAATATTTAATAGAAATAGCCTTTCGCCGGGCTCGGTGGCTCAGCCTGTAATCCCGCACCTTTGGGAGGCTGAGGTGAATGAATTGCCTGAGCCCACGGGTTCGAGACCCGCGCAACTTGGTGAGATCTCATCTCTACAGTGTCAAAAATTAGCCGGGTGTGGTAGTGTGCGCCTGTAGTTCCAGCTACTCAGAAGGCTGAGGCAGAAGGATCGCCGGAGCTCAGCAGGTCGAGGCTGCGGTGGCCAGGAGCGGCCACTGCACTCCAGTCTGGGCGACAGAGTGAGACTCCAATTCAAACAAAAACAAAAAAAAGAAATAGCCTTTCATTCTTAAGACATACATTGGTTGATTAATTCAAATATGTTTAGTGCCAACCTGGAATGAAATACCTACCACAGACAATCCAGACATTAATAATCAAGAATCCAATGACAGATGTACAGGTCAATATTCTAAAGTTTAAAATGTTACCATGCTAACTAGAACACTCCCTCAGGTGATTATAGACTATGGAAGCAGCATGGACAAGATTAAAGTTATAATAAAAAAAAGAGCTCCTTACCAGTGTATGGCAGATGGCCAGGCTGTACATACTGCTCTAGCCCCTTATCATATTTTTCCCTCCCTATCTTCCTAGGACATATGTTCCATGGAACCTAAAGGCTACCTGAAATACTGCTGAACTTAACAATTCAGGATTTAATTGTCTCCAAGTAGTCAGCCAGGGGACATGGTAACCTGAGGCAGTCTTTCTGTATCTTTGGGAAGAGACTTTTGAGAAGTTAGTTTATCCATAATAATTACTAGTCCATCATAAGGAAAAAATAAGAAAAACTCGGGCAGGAATAATTTCAAGTGTGAACTTCCATAAAAATAAACAGGTCCAAAATTTGACACTTTTTTGCACCAGAAGTGAAACTTGAAAAGACAGCCACTTGGATACGGTTTAAGTTTTAGAACTCTGTTTTAGCCAAGTTACTTACCCTGAATTTTTATACCTTTATCTGTTAAAAAGGGGGCAAAGAGAATAACCTTAAAATTATTGCTATACATGTGATAATGTATATGAAAAAATTTACGTAGCACACACAGCTCCTGACATGTAGAAGCACACTATTGATTCCTTTCCCTTCCCTTCCACGTATATTATACAATGATGTCTTCATATACAGAATCTCTTCAGTAAGTTGCAGTTTATCATTTTTGTGTATAAATGGACTTTTTCAAATAAAATTTAATAAATTATTGCAAATATATACATAGCAATTTGCTTTGATTCTTATTAGAGATTACATGTTTTTAAATAGATGCATGATACAAAAAAAGATGCAGAAAGTATGAAGTCTGCCCATCAAAAAAAAATCACTGTACATAATATGTTGTATATTACTCCAGATTTTCTTCTAAGCATATACTACTGTGTTTCACTAATTTTTTTTTTATATAATTGCTTTACTTAAAAGTATATTATTACTGTTTTTCAGGTCAGTAGAAATAGTTGAATGTATACCACTGTAAAATATACTATAATTTATTTAGCTAATATCTTATTAACAACAGTTAAGTAGCTTCTGGTTTTTTGTACTATTACAAAAATACTGCAGTGAAAAAGCTTGCACAGAGTAAATGTTTTTATAATGATTAAATCTTCAAACAATAGATGAAAGTGGCCGGTTTCCTCACATTTGCCCACCAATTGTTGTCATTGTTTTTTAACCTCTGCCAATAAAATAGGTGAAAATTCCTGTCTTGTCCTTTGAATTTACATTTTTGGGCAAAAGTTCATCTTTGTATTTGTTTACTGATTATATTTTTGGTGGATTATATTATTGTATCATTACCCTTTTACCCATTTAGTTACTATTCTTTAATATTGATTATGGTCTCCATTCAACAAATGTTTATTCGGTACCAACTATGACTGGATACTGTTCTAAGAGCTTGGGATTTATAGTACAGGAGTTCATAATTTATTGTTATATGCATTTTTCCTGGTCCCCCCTCCCTCTGTCTTTTAAGTTTTTTTGGTAGGGAGTGTTGTTTCTGGCACACTAAAGTCTGGAATTTTAGGGTAATCAAAGTTGTTTTGTGTTACATTTAGAAAGAACTTTTTCAACCTAAAGTCATAAAATATGTATATTTTTTAATTTTAAAAATGTGGGGTACAATTCATGGTTAGGTATACAAATTGTCATTATGCAGGTACCCTTATTGATGAGGTATACCCCCAGTCCACCCCTGGCAGTTTCCCACTGCTGCCAGTCCCTCTCTTCTAGTATGAAAATTGTTTGAGGTCCACTTATGAGTGAGAACACATGGTGCTCAGTTCTTTGTTTCTGTGATAGATCACTCAGTAGTATTATAGTAAAGTCATAAAAATATTTACCTGTGTTTTTTCCCAAACATATTCATGCTTAGAAAAAGTTGTTTTTTACTTTTAAATCTTTGATTCAATATAAGGACATAGGCATCTAGCTTTATTTATTGTTGAGATGCTGCTTGGTGGTATGGAAAAAGTACTGGGAAAGAAAAAGGCCCCCTATTGCTAGTTCTAATTAGACAGATTAGTTTCTGAACTTGTAAAAATAATTACTCTTTGCTTTGTTTTTTATTTTCTTGTTGTTCTATAAAATGAGGAATTAGTAGATGTTTTCTAAACTTACTTCCTCACATAGGAATTTTTAATTCTGAATTGTTACAGGCAGAACTCAAACTTGAAATTTTTTTTATTTCAATGTTATTTAAAGATGTGGGGTACAATTCAGGATTAGGGACACAAGTGGTCATTGCACAGGTAAAGTTTGGGCCTCCCCTGGTCTCCACTTCACCTGAAATCTTATTTATAATAGCAATATTATGTTGGACATAGAGAATCACTAGGTTTCTCAGAGTGAAAATAGTTTTTGGGGGGTTTTTTGAGTTGGAGTCTCACTCTGTCACCCAGACTGGAGTGCAGCAGCCACTCCCGGCCACCGCAGCCTTGACCTGCTGGGCTCCGGCAATCCTTCCGCCTCAGCCTTCCAAAAGCAGCCAGAACTACAGGCGTGCGCTACCATGGCCGGCTAATTTTTGATTTATTGTAGAGATGAGGTCTCGCCAAGTTGTCCAGGCAGGTCTCAAACCCGCAGGCTCAGGCAATCCACTCACCTCAGCCTCCCAAAGGTGCGGGAAATCGTTTTGAAACAAACTAAGTAAGCTACAGAATAAGTAATGTTTTAATGACTTAATTGAAATGTGCTACATTTATAATAGATAAAACTAGTCAAAATGTGATTCAATTAATCAGGTATTTGTGCACCTACTGTAGCCAACACAGTTATAGAACTGGGTAGTATAAAACTGCTTTAAGGAATTTTTATTTTTATTGGAAAAACAAAATAGAAGACATACTTACATGACAATAATCTAAAATGATTTTATACCAACATCTGGAAGATAGCAAGTTATAATACTTTAGTTCTTACATGTTAATATTAACTTTTTATTAAATTTAATTCAGTGTTCAAAAATAACACATAGAGCCAGGCATAGTGACTCATGCCTATAATTCCAGCACTTTGGGAGACTAAGACTGGAGGATTGCTTGGGCCTAAGAGTTTAAGACCAGACTGGGTACTGTGGCAAGACCTGGCTCTACAAAAAATGTGAAAAATTAGCCAGGTGGTGTACACCTGTAGTCTAAGTTGCTTGGGAGCCCGAGGCAGGAGAATTGCATAAGCCCAGGAGAGTTCAAGACTGCAGTGAGCTGTGATTGTACCACTGCACTCCAGCCTAGGTGACAGCAAGACCGTGTCTCAAAAAAAAAGATTTCATAGGCTCAATTTGATTTAGATGTGTGTTTCATTTGGTCTATACAATATTTTAGGAGAAAAAATGAATTTTTTATCAATAGTTTTTAAAAATCAAAAGATATAAAAATCCATATTCAGGCTTCTTTTGAAGGTACATTTTTTGGCAATACTAAACCAATGCTTGGCTAAAACACTTGTCAGGGCATACTCTTAAGTAATCACTGCTCTGATGACTATTATATCACCATGGCTTGTTTTATTTATTTTACCTGTCTTCCTTCATAGACATTTGAATTTTATAATTCATTTTCCACTTTTTACAGAAGTAGGGAAACTTAAGATTTAGAACGATTACCATTTATTGGCAGTATACATTAGAACCCAGATTTTCTCACCCCAAATCCAAAGCTCTTTCTTCTATTAGAAGAAATACTGGAAGGAATAAACAAATTACTGTTTCCCCCTTTTTAAAAAATGTGGCCTCTGATACTTATCAGCTATTAAAACAATTTTAAAAGACCCACCTGCCTGTCCACTTTCACTTTTCTCTGCTGTTCATAAATATATATTTGTTCAACAGCAAAAAAGGGACAAGTAAATACTGGGGGTGCCAAAAATATGTATACACATTTAAGAAATGTTTGCTGTAATCAGACGTATCTGGTAACCACTTTGAGCACCTCTTGTAATTGCAGAAGTCAAACGAGACTTGTATTCATCTTTTGTTATCTGCATATGTTATTACAATTTTAATACAGTTTTTTCCGTTCTTAAAGTGTGCGTACATTTCTTTCACCCTATGTATAATATTGGGATAGATCTGTATGCTTGTGAGTTGTTCTGAGATTGCAGACACGATATGGGAACTGTCTACCAAAGTTTCTAATGCTGGTGCCCCCAAAAAGAAAACCCTCTGTAATAAAATTATTCTGGATATAGCTGTTTTTTTTTTTTCCTCCAGAGTCTCATATTTAAATAGTAATAATAGAATAAGCAAAATTCACTCAATTTGCTTAAATTTCTTTGTTGTATCATAGGAAACAACATCCTAGTTTAAAGACATTAACTCCCGTGTATCTAGTTGTTTATCATATAATATATTCTCAGAAAATATGTTCTATTTTTTAGTTGGTAATTCCACATGCTTTCTTCTATTTTTTTTCCTTGTTAAAGGACTTGCAATTGTGACCAAATATATTACAAAGGGCTGGAAAGAAGTCCATGAATTGTATAAAGAAAAAGCACTTTCTGTGGAGACTGAAAAATTGTTAAAATATCTGGAGGCTGTAGAGAAAGTGAAGCGCACAAAAGATGAACTGGAAGTCATTCACCTAATAGAAGAACATAGATTAGTTAGAGAACATCTTCTAACAAATCACTTAAAGTCTAAAGAGGTAAGTAAATTATTATGCATTACAGCATGTGATTAAACCTGAGTAACTTATATGTGTTAAAAGGATAAACTTTGGTAACTATATATTCTTTTAAAAAGAGAAATTAAAATATATCTTGAAATTAATGTTTATTTAAAACACCTAACATGATACCCTGATGTAGCTGGCATTGGTGTTAGTTTTACTCCAGAAAATATGCTGCCTTGCACTTGGATGGATTTAGAGTCTATCATACTCAATGCTCTATCACAGAAATAACTGAATATTACATGTTCTCACCCATAAGTAGATCTTGAACATTTATCATAACACTGCAAGAAAGGGATTGGCAGTAGCAGGACACTGCCGGGGGTTGGGAGGAACGCACATAAATCACCAAGAGTACCTGATCCTAAACCAAGCGAAGTGAGAACCAAAGGGAGGCCCCAACATTCACCTGAATGTAGAGACCACTTGTATACCTAATCCTGACTTGTACTCCACATCTTTAAAATAAGATAAGGGCTGGGCTTGGTGGCTCAGACTGTAATCTCAGCACTTTGGGAGGCTGAGGCAAGTGGATTGAGACCAGCCCAGGCAACTTGGTGAGACCTCGGCTCTACAATAAATCAAAAAAATTAGCTGGGCGTGGTAGCACGGGCCAGTAGTTCCTGCTACTTGGAAGGCTGAGGCGAAAGGGTCACTGGAGCCCAGTAGGTTGATGCTGGGGTGGCCATGAGTGTGCCACTGTACTCCAGCCTGGGCGACAGAGTGAGACTCCAACTCAAAAAATAAAATAAATATATATCCTGCCTTGCTGATTAAAACAAAAATATCTGTGCATTTCATTCATAAAATATACTTCTTTATTCAAGTTAGCTTACTTGATAAACCTTTGACCAGGTCACTAAGACACATTTTCCTTCTAAAAGTACTCTGTATTCTGAATCCCAAATGAAAACCTTAAAACTGTATTATGGGCCGGGCTCAGTGGCTCAGCCTGTAATCCCAGCGTTTTGGGAAGCCGAAGTGAGTGGATTGCCCGAGCCCGCAGCCTGCCTGGGCAGGTGAGACCTCATCTCTACAATAAATCAAAAAGTTAGCTGGGCATGGTAGCGCGTGCCTGTAGTTCCAGCTATTTGGAAGGCTGAGGCGGAAGGATCGCCAGAGCCCAGCAGGTCGAGGCTGTTGCACTTTAGTCTCAAAAAATAAATAAATAACAACAACAAAACTATATTATAATATTATTACTGATATAGGTATGTTATACTGATTCATTTCCCCTTAATTCCTGATATGTCTCCCTATTTTATTGCTATAGGTATGGAAGGCTTTGTTACAAGAAATGCCTCTTACTGCGTTACTAAGGAATCTAGGAAAGATGACTGCTAATTCAGTGCTTGAACCAGGAAATTCAGAAGTATACTTAGTATGTGAGAAACTGTGTAATGAAAAACTATTAAAAAAGGTGAGTGTTATCATTGTCCTTTATTAGCTGCTACTATCTGAAAAAGTTGGCTCCTAAATTTTGGAAGTGCAGTCAGTAAATTTTTTAAATATTCTGAGACATTTATCATACCAAACTGCATTTTGACTCTTAAATCTAAGTTAACACATTCTCATTTTTTACTTTTATGAAATGTTATTAGCTACAGTAGCATAAAAGTCTAAGAAATACACTTACCTATTTTTTACTTGAATTTTGTATTTACTTTCTGTCTTTGTTTTACTTCTAGGCTCGTATACATCCATTTCATATTTTGATTGCATTAGAAACTTACAAGACAGGTCATGGGCTGAGAGGAAAACTGAAGTGGCACCCTGATGAAGAAATTTTGAAAGCGTTGGATGCTGCTTTTTATAAAACGTTTAAGGTATTTGTTTGATTTTTGTTTTACTATCTTTTGTAAAAATACATTTCAAGGGTAGTAGCAGTAGTTAAGCCATTTTTTATTAGATTTTCATTTGTTTAGTTCATGTGAGGCAGGTATATAATTAACATTGTAAGTTTATGAGTAAAGTATTTCTCTTTACCTTTGGGCAGCAACTAATTATCCTGAGATAATTTTGATAATTTTTAAATAACTAAACTTTAAAATTTGCATTCTTGTATGGTCCTTTGACTTCGTCCTCTGTTCTGTTTTTTTCTCATTAATTGGTAGATGTATCTCATTAGTCTTGATAGGGAATGAGTTTTTAGGAATGAAAATACCACATCAGAGACATAAGTTAAAATGTTTTATTTTTTAAATGTTTTGCTATATACAATAAAATACTAGCGCCAATTCAGTAGCAAATTTAAAAGATTATACCCCATGACCAACATGCAAAGCTGGTTCAACATATGAAAACCAATCAGTGTAACACATCATATTAGTAGAATGAAGGGCCAAAATCCACATGATCATCTCTACTGATACAAAGAAAGGATCTGATGAAATTCAACACCTTTCATGATTTTTACAAAAACACTCAATAAGCTAGGACTAGAAGTGAGCTTTCAACATGATAAAGCTCATAGATTTGAAATTAAATTTAAAAACCTATACCTAACATTTAAAAACCTATACCTAACATATATTAAATGGTGAAAATTGAAAGCCTTTCTCATAAGATTAGGAACAAGAAAAAGAATGCCCACTTTTTCCACTTTGATTCCACATAGTACTGGAAGTTCGAGCAATAAGGCAAGATGATGAAATAATAAAAGACAACCACACTGGAAAGGAAATATCTCTAGTCTCAGATGCTGTGCTTTCATTTGTAGAAACCACTAAAAAAATCCACAAAAAACTTAGAGTTAACAAATTAATTTAGCAAAGTTCTAGGATACAAAACAGCACATAAAAATCAGTTGCATTTATATATACTAGCAATGAACAATCCAAAAAAGGAAATTAAGAAAACATATCCATTTACAATACCATGAATGAATTTAAGAAGCTGCAAGACTTATCCACTTGGCAAAGGACCATACAAGAATGCAAATCTGAACTACAAAACATTGATGAAGGAAATTAAAGAAAATATGAACAAGTGGAAAGACATCCATGTTCATAGTTTGGAAGACTTAATATTGTTAACAAGATAATACCATCCAAGCATTCCCTTTCAAAATCCCAATGGCATGTTTTACAGAAATAGAAAAATCCATTCTAAAATACCTGAGAAATTTCAAGTGACCCCCAAATACCCAAAACAATCTTGAAAAGAAGAACGAAGTTGGAGGACTCATACTTCTGAATTTTAAAACTTACTACAAAGCAGCAGTAATCAAAACAATGTGACATAAGGATAAATGTATAGACCAATGAAGTAGAAGAGAGACCAGAAATAAAAACCTTTAATATATAGTCATTTGACTTTGACAAGGGTACCAAGATGATTCACCAGGGAACAGACAGTCTTCAACAAATGGTGTTGGAAAACTGCATATCCACATGCAAAAGAATGAAGTTTGATCATTACCCTGCACCACATTCAAAAATTAGTGGATCAGTGACCTAAATTTAAAAGTTAAAACTGTAAAACACCAAAAACACAGGCAATAAAAGTAAAAAATAGATAAATTGGACTTCATAAAAATTTAAAATGTTATGCATAACAGGAAAGTGAATAGATAACCTACATAATGAGAGAAAACATTTGTAAATCATGCATCTGTTTAGGGCTTAATATCCAGAATATAAAGAACTCCTACAATTAATTCAACAGTAAAAATACAAACAACTCAACTTAAAAATGGCCAAGTACTCACAACAAACATTTTTTTCAAAGATACACAAATGAACAATAAGCACATGAAAAATGTTCAACATCATTCATCTTCAGAGAAATGCAAATCAAAACCATAATTTACCACTTCACATCTAGTTGGATGACTAATATTTAAAAAGCAGAAAGAAGCCGGGCTCGGTGGCTCAGCCTGTAATCCCGTGCCTTTGGGAGGCTGAGGTGAGTGGATTGCCTGAGCCCGTGGGTTCGAGACCCGCCTGGGAAGTGAGACCTCATCTCTACAATAAATGAAAAAATCAGCCAGGCGTGGTAGCACATGCCTGTAATTCCGGCTACTTGGAAGGCTGAGGTGGAAGGATAGCCAGAGCCCAGCAGGTCGAGGCTGCCATGGCCGGGAGCAGCTACTGCACTCCAGTCTGGGCGACAGAGTGAGACTCCAACTCAAAAGAAAAAAAGAAAAAAAAAGCAGAAAGAATTGGGAAGGATGTGGAGAAATTAGAACCTTAGTATATAGCTGGTAGGAATGTAAAGTGGTACTGCCCCTGTGGAAAACAGCTGGGCAGTTCTCAAAATATTAAACATAAAATTACCATCCAGCAATTTCATGTATATCTGTATACCCCAAATAATTGAAAACATATATTCAAACAGTTATTTGTATACCAATGTTTACAGTAACATGATTCATAATAGCCAAAAGGGTAGAAACAACCTAAGTGTCCATCAGCAGATGGACAGATAAATAAAATGTGGTATATACGAGGGGGGACCCCCAAAAACCCAGAATTTAATGTATAAAAAATGGTATACTCTTACATATTTTAACTTGTCACCTTCAAAGTACTCTCTATTTGATGTAATGCACTTATCGAGATACTTTTTCCACTGTTCAAAACAGTTTTTGAGCTCATCAATTTTGATGCCTTTTAGTGCTTCTGTTGATTTTTGTTTCACCTCTTCCACATCAGCAAAACATTTCCCTTTGAGGAGTTTTTTTCATCCGGGAAAACAAAAAAACATAAACATCGCTCAGGTGAGATCAGGTGAATAGGGTTGGTAGAGCTCAGAGGTCATGCCAGTTTTGATCAAAAATGGCTAAACACTATGTGGTATGTGCAGGTGCACACTAAATCACCCATCATGAAATGGGCAGTAAGTTGAAAGACTCTCCAAAAAAAATTCACTGAAGCTGATCACAGCCTTTCGCAACAACACTAAGCCAGTACACCGATGCAATGGGTTCCTGGAACACTTACCTAGTGGGGGAAGCCAGTACTACAGGGAGTCCGATCTCCAAAAAATAATTCTGAGGTTTTTTGCCCACCCCCCCGCACGTACAATGAAATATTATTCAGCCTTAGGAGAGAATGAAATTTGATACATGCTACACCATGGTAAACCTTGAAAACATTATGCTAAGTGAAATAAGCCAGACTAGTATATGATTCCATTATATGAGGTATCCTGTAGGATAGACAAATTCATAGAGACCTAAGTAGAATGGAAGTTGCTAGGGGATAAGGAGAGGTAGGAATGGAGAGTTATTACTTAAGTAATACAAGTTTCTATTTGGGATGATGAAAAAGTTCTGGAAATAGAGGTTGTAGTTACACAACATTATGAATGTACTTAATGCCAATGAATTGTATACTTAATGTTTAAAAAGGTAAATTTTATTTTACTTATATTTTACCACAGTACAAATTTCTTCTGCTAGAAAGTCTCATTTTATTTTAATGAGGAAATATTTTTAAAATAGGCTGGTAACTTCTTTAAATAAAATTATTGATTATTTTATTTCCTTTGTTTTACCTGTAAGAGCTAAGCATCTTTTTTTATTTATCCTTTTTAAAATTTTTCAGTCATAGCTGCCATGCCAGAATAAGCATTTATAAACAGTTGTCAATTAATTCGGATATCAGAAATCAGAAATCTTTTCATTACAGAATCTTTTGAATGTTAGAAATTTAATGTTTATAATTTCTATCATTGCTTTTAATGATGGTTTTGTTTTCTCTTTAGACAGTTGAGCCAACTGGAAAACGTTTCTTACTAGCTGTTGATGTCAGTGCTTCTATGAACCAAAGAGTTTTGGGTAGCATACTCAATGCTAGTACAGTTGCTGCAGCAATGTGCATGGTGAGAACACCTATGGCAATTTTGCCACGCTAAAAAAATGTTTACTGTACTAACTTTAAAGTAAAACTTTAAAGTTGGATACGATTAAGAATTATGTTTTTGCCAGGCTTGGTGGCTCAGCCTGTAATCCCGTACCTTTGGGAGGCTGAAGTGAGTGGATTGCCTGAGCCCGCGGGTTCGAGACCCGCCTGGGCAGCGAGACCTCATCTCTACAATAAATCAAAAAATCAGCCGGGCGTGGTAGCGTGCGCCTGTAGTTCCAGCTATGTGGAAGGCTGAGGCGGAAGGATCGGCAGAGCCCAGCAGGTCAAGGCTGCGGTGACCGGGAGCGGCCACTGCACTCCAGCCTGGGCGACAGAGTGAGACTCCAACTCAAAAAAAAAAAACTTTTTTTGTTGTCATTTCTGCTTGTTTGGCTTTTTTTTTCTCTTTTCAGTCAGGGTCTCTGTCAACCAGGCTGGAGGGCAGTGATACAATCATAGTGTCCCAAGTAGCTGGGACTACAGGTCTGTGTCACCATGCCTGGTTAATTTTTTTTATTTTTTGTAGAAATGGGGGTCTTGCGGTGTTGGCCAGGCTGGTCTTGAACTCCTAATCTAAAACTGTCCTCCCACCCAGCAAAGTACTGGGAATATAGATGTGAGCCTACCATGCCCAGCCTGTAAATTTTTTATTATTTTATATGTAAAAATAATTTTGTAAAGCCAATTATTAAGTGTATTGAAAAAGCATGTCTAGAGAATAGACAGAAAACTGTTAATTTTTACAACAGAAGATTAAATATTAATGGTATAATGCTTAGAAAAATTATTTAGTAATATAAAAGATACGGGAACTAATAAGAGTCAGAAGACTAATTCTATCCTGCCTCTGTCATTTAATATTAAGCAGATGAATCATAAGCAAACTTTTTAGCTTCTTCTCTGTGACTTTATTTCTTATTTAATAAAAGTGAGAATAATACATACTCCATTTGTTTCAGGGGATTATTGTGAAAGCCAGTTTCTTTTTAAGGGTTTGTGAAGTGAAAGCTATATGACTGTTACTGTATAGTTCTAAAACACAGTAATACAAGTTTAGAAATAAAATAAGCCTCTAGTGTTTCTTTTAAACACTGTATTTATTCCCCCCAAATTTGCTGAAAATTACTGCCATTGAATTTTTCAGGTTGTCACACGAACAGAAAAAGATTCTTACGTAGTTGCTTTTTCAGATGACATGGTACCATGTCCATTGACTACAGATATGACCTTAGAACAGGTTCTAATGACTATGAGTCAGGTAAGACACTGTTTTATTAAGTTTGCATAACATGTATTGTACAATAATTTTATAATATTGATGTCATGTATGGTATTTGTGAGAGCAAAAATTGTTTTGTCTTGGTTTTCCCATAAGCAGCACAAAATTAAAAAAAAAGATACAGGCTTTGGAAAGGTTCTAAATATTGGTGCTAAACAAAATGATAATGTAAAAAGTAGTACTTATTTATTCTCATTCATGCTTTTGTTTTGAGTTAGATCCCAGCAGGTGGAACTGATTGTACTCTTCCAATTGTCTGGGCTCAACAGACAAATACAGCTGCTGATGTCTTCATTGTATTCACTGATAACGAAACCTTTGCTGGGGGTCTCCATCCTGCTGTTGCTCTGAAGGAGTACCGAAAGGTAAAAAAATTCTAATGTTGCTTCTTACCTAAATAATACTTGATTCTCCTTTATTAGGCTTTTTTTAAAAATGTTGCTGAAACTATACATTTGAGTAGGAATCCAATGTCAGTTGTGGACTCAGCAGTACTTAAAATAAGAAAAAGTATTTGTTACACATATGTAATTTATTTTAACCAGTTACAGTGCTACATGGTATTAAGAATATCCTTTGTAAAAATATTTTTGGTAATCAAAATATTTATTTTACCTTAGTTATAAATTTTTTTAATGATTCAGTGTGCGCCTTAAAAAATTAAAGGCATTATTTGCGTGTTTTCCTAAAGGGCTAAATAAAATTAAAGCAAAGCTATATGTTTTAAGTTTTATGAACATATCTATGTTCTAATGAGTGTCCTCCAATTAAACTTTCTGAAATGACATTGATGTGTTTTATCTGTATTCTCCACTATGGTTTCCGCTAGTCATACATTGGGCTATTAAGCACTTGAAATGCAGCTAGTATGGCTAGAAGTAGAAATAGAACTTGAAGAGCCTTGATTCGCAAAGTGTGGTTTCCCTACCAGCAGCCTTAGCATCACCTGGGATCTTACTAGGAATGCAGATTCCTGGGGACCACAGAGAACCTGCTGAATTAGACACTGTGTATTAGGACTCTTTAAATAATCCCTCCAGGAGATTCTGATGCATGCTTAAGTTTGAGAATCACAGATGAGGGAATAGAATTTAGAGTCAAGACAACCTGGGTTCTGAGTCCTGAATCTTTTTCTTTTACTAACTGTGAACCTGAACAAATTATTTAACTAATCTATGTCATAGTAGGTAATAGTACTTACCTTTTAGGGTTTTTATAACTATTACATTAGATATACCTTATAAAGAGTCCATTGTTGTCTGACATAGTGTGTATTCAGGATTACTTTTTCTCAAAAACTCAATTATTTTAACCTTAAATGTAGCTGTAAACAGTTTCTTATATGGGACATGTATACATATCAAAGTCATAGACCAAAAGTTGATAATTCCAGAGAGATATTTCCTTAAAAGTATACACACATACTGTTGCACCTTTTGCTATGTTGATAAAAATGTCTGGCATCCCTGAATATCCTGCCAGTCTCCATAAGTACAAAGTCCCTTGGCTGCTCAGTAATGTTCTCTGCAGGCCATAAGACAGAGAAATAGAAATTTTAGTAAGGTTCTTTACACAAATTGACTTTGTAATAAAAAGCTGTGGAGAGAGATGTTAAACTGTTTTAATTTTGAAGATATTTTACTTCTCCTTACATGCAAGTTTTTAAAATGTATTTTGATCTTTTCCTACAGAAAATGGACATTCCAGCTAAATTGATTGTTTGTGGAATGACATCAAATGGTTTTACCGTTGCAGACCCAGATGATAGAGGCATGTTGGATGTGTGTGGCTTTGATACTGGAGCACTGGATGTAATTCGAAATTTTACATTAGATGTGATTTAAAGATAAGCACCAGCATAATATAAGAGGTCCGTTGCCCTCAGTGATCTCCCTAAACAAACAGCTACTCCGTTAATCTCAGTCTGATGAAAAATGATGATATAGTATGCGCCTAATGGAAAGTTACCTTAGCAAAAAAAAAAAAAAAGGAAGGAAAAATAAAAGATGATAAGCCCAAAGTTCTATCTACTAAACTAGCTCTTGGGAAATAGCTTCAGGACTGTAGCTTCCTCTATATAATAGAGAACTTTTTGTTACTAGACACTGTAAAAATAGTTTTGCTTTGGTGAATAATACATTTATACTTAAAAGAGGTGAGAGCCAAAAGTGTAATAACACATCATGTCACTTGTTTGAGAAGTGCTTAACATTTTTAAAAATGTTTTCATTGGGAAAGGACAGCTTTGATAATGTCCAAATATTCTGAAATGCACTAGACCATATAACTGTGATGGAATATGAAACTCATCTGTAATCTTTTATACCAAGGTGGTCAAAAAACTGACATTTAACTAAATTATAAATGAGTTTTACAGATTCCTTTCATAGTTTTCTAAGATCACATAAATAACAGCTTTCTTATTCAGTGAAAGATGTTTTATTTGTGATGTTTTATTTGCACTTGTAGAGTATGTTACCATTAACCAGAAACATAATGACAACTCCTAAAAAGAGATACTAAAGTTGTGTTGGCTGAGGAATTCTATTTTGTTTACTGCCTTTGCTTTGTCATATTTTATTGCCATGAGTGACGAATGACTTGACAATAATGATTTCCTCTGAATTATAACACAGCCAGATATACACATTCTTTTTGTCTTATTCTTCAATGAAAATAACATTAAATGTTTCAAGCACTTAACTTCCCCCATTCATAATATTGAAAGTTTAATAAACAAAATCTCAACTGTAACCAGATTAGCTTTTTCCTTATTTTAAAGTAAAAATTGTTTTAATTGCTTTAAACTAATTTTTTAGTCAATTGTAAATGGGTTTTAGATATTTTTACATTGTAAACATGTCAGTGGTGTCCTTTTTGTCCATTATTCATTTTGTGGCTAAATATTCTTTTCTGATAGTGTAAAGAAATAATATAGCAAGCTAAGTCCTTCAGGTTTGAAAGGCAATTTTTGAGTAGCATACTACCATCTAAACAGTCTGTAGTAATTTATTTTCCAACTTGTGTGTATTAAACTTCCGTTTCATTACACTGAAGTGCATTATTTTATTGAGCAAGCATCCCTTCTTTATTGTGAGGTTTAACATTAAAGCAATCTTGAAATGCCATTATCTTTGCTCATAATTTTATTGTGGTTGTCTAAGATAGCTTACAGGTAAAACTTCAGTTTGTATGTACTGTTCTTTAAATATTAATTGAAGATTTACTGAGGGTTTATAAAGCCCTTCTCACTGTTATGTGAAAAGGCAAACTAGTTAATGTAAATATAGCCTTTTTGGTGCTTAGGGGTTAGAGGTTTTATGTATTTTGGGATGGGGGACTTGAGTAGTATGAGGATTTGGATGCATATTTTCTTATGTTTTATGTGAAATTTGGGCTCTGGGAATGATAATGATAATGTTCCTTTCAAATGTTTTGACATATTAGTGCTGGCTTGGATATGTGCCCATTCCTTAAAGGGAACTGGTAGGAGTTTTTTAAATGTTGTAATTAACCTGAGATTCTTTGGGTCAGCATATCACATAGCACCCTCCATCCCTCACAAGTATGCATTGCTTCTGATGTTATTCCAATATTAGCCTTCTGTCAGGCATTACATTTAACAAGTTAGCTACTTGTGGTACATTAAAATATTATGTTGGGATTGAATTTTAAGAACCTATTAGAATTATATAATAGTTCTTGAACTCTTTAAGTCAACCTTAGGTCACCTTTAAAGTTATAACATGATCTAACTTTTTATCCCTAATAGAAATGTTAAGTAGAATACAGTATAAAAGTTTATTACCTTCAGTTATATATTATTTTGGTAATGCTTTTAGACAAATATACTTAAGAGTTAACATTAAATCCATCAGGGAAATAAGATTAGATGTGACCTTTCTGAAGTATTTGGGTAGGTCTAATTAAATGAATTAGGATATCATTTAAGAAAGAGCGAAAAAAAGGAAAACAAAAAGAAGCTACCACAGAAGATAACTTTATTTTTAAGTAATGGAATATTAGCTGAAAGAAACCTTTGAAATTAAAAGCTAACTTTTTGATTTTAGTTAGCTGTAATTTTATAGCACTCTGACCTAGAAATCTTGATCTCCTCATTCCCGTTCCTAATTTATTTCCCCACAACATGGAAATACATTGACTCAAAAGAGTAGGGGATAAAACAGAATTATTTAAGTCTTTTACCTTATTTGGATATTAAGAAATAATGTATATACATGATTGCTTTAGGAGTAGAAAAACAAAGATTGTGAACATATATAATTTTGTAATTCATAGTAATCCTCAAGCACAATTAATGTTTTAATAACCTGTGTAATATATATAGTCCTATAGAAAAAATAAAACTTTACCTCATTATGAATAAAATATACTCAAGTGATAAACAAGTTTTTTAATTTTCTAAATTACTTTTAGGATTACTGTTACATTAATATTTGGTGAAATATTACTTTTAAAAACAATCCTAGGAAAAATTAACAAACTTTATTTCCTAGATAATATGTAAATATTTCCAGAATAAAGTTGTAATTAGTAAAACAAAAACTAATCTTATAATACCACTTTTTCTTATGAGAATGTTAGTGAGGCAACATGCTAGTGAATGGAATTCAGTATCACCTCTTTGGAACCTTTTTTGGTTTATCTAACTTACTGTGTGACTGTAGACAACCAATTTAACCTAAGTGACTCAATTCTGCAATCTTTAAAAAGGAATATATCTGTGCTTGGATCATAGACAAATCAGTGATTAAATATTTATATAAAAACAAACTAGATAGAGGGCTTGGAATACAAATTAGAACTCTTTTTTTTAATTAAACAACATTCTTGTTAATAAGATATGTATGTTGAAAGATAAAATGTTTTAGAAAAATAGTTCTATAGGCCCAGAAATTTTTAAAAAACATTCCTGGTCAGAGTAGAAAAATGTAAACAAAAAATTTTCATGTTTAAAATATTACCCAAGAAGGCACTATTCTCTGTTCAAGAGAGAAGAAATATATTCCAAGTTAGGATCTTCTTGGATAGACCTAGAAAAACAAACTCATATCTAAGTGAGATGCTGATAACATTTTCTTAATCTTTTAAAATAAGTTAATCTACAGATGATGATCTCTCAGCTTATCAAGGTTTTTGTCTCATTTTTTGGATTTTGGGAAAATAATATAAAATTATTTTGGAATGGTAACAATTCCTCAGCAAATTAGAAGTTCTGACAATTAAGTGAGAAACATCTTTCAAAACACAATAAAGCTATATCTAAACAACAATTAAAGACTAATTGTAATCTCATTAGACTTCTTTCAATTTGACCTGAAGATATTATAGTTACAAATATAGATTTCTTGGTGAGTGATGATGTCCTTAGAACAGGTAATCAAAAGTGAAAAATTCTAATCTTATATACCACAGGATTGGGGTGACTAGTTAATGCAGTAACCCCGCCGGAGAAATGTTATATATAAAGCTTAAATGTAAACAAGCACAAGGAAGAATCAGAAAAAATGATAGTTTTTAAGCTATGAAATTCATTGTATTTCCCATGTGGATTTTATTTAGTGTTTCCCTGATATCTCTCCCTAATTTCTTACTTGTTGAAAGATTACTTGGTTTGTTTGTTTGTTTGTTTGTTGTTGTTTTATCAAGGTCTCACTGTTTGTTGCCCAGGCTGGAGTGCAATGGCATGATTGTGGCTCACCTCAGCCTCCAACTCCTGGACTCTAGCCATCCTCTTGCATTAGCCTCCCAAGTAGCTGGGACAATATGCACACGCCAGCAAACCCAGCTAATCTTTTGACTGGAGATGAGGTCTTGCTATGTTACATAGGCTGGGCTCAAGCAATCCTCCCACCTCAGCCTCCCAAATTGCTGGGATTACAGGCATATGCCACCATACCTAGCTGGAAGATTACTTTTATATCTCTTTTCTTTAAAAATTATTTTCTGACATTTATCTCCTCTTTTTTCCTAGTCCTGCTGTATCTGCGTTAGGAAAGTTATCTAATTTAGGTTTAAGTTGAATCTTTCACAGATGGCTTTTTGCTTTATACAGGTATAAATTGATATTTTTTTTAACTTAATGGGCAGGTCTCTAGGAACAATAACTAAGCTGATGTGTTCTCTCCCCCAAGTCAAATTATATGGTATACCTTTCGTACTAGATGTTTGCAGAAATTTTGTGGCCTTTGATTAAGATCAGTTTTTCAGCCTTTGTTTGCAATTATAGATGTATCTAGCTGTATTGAAAAGAGAATGTTCTACTGTTTAAGTACTCTTATAAAAATAACTGATTACTCTTTCAGAAAAGAGCATATCACTGCTCATATATCCACAATTATAAAGACCACTGTCAAAATGTTTGGTTTACTATTTTAACTGAATATATAAGGGGGGACCCAAAAACAACCAGAATTATTTTTTGAAGGGCAAACCCCTTGTAGTACAGGCTTCTCCCTTGGGTCAGTGTTCTAGGAACCCTGCAGCATCAGTGTACCAGCTATGCTTGTTGTGAGATGCTGCATTCAGGTTCAGTGAATTTTTTTTGAGATACATTCAACATGTTTGCCCATTTTATGATGGTTAATTTGTAAGTACACCTGCCCACACTGCACTGAGTGTTCAGCATTTTTTTGACCAAAATCAGCATGACCCCTGTTTCCCACCCTAACCTCCCTATTCACATGATCTTGCCCTGAGTAACTTTTTTTTTATTTGCCAGATGAAAAAAGTCCTCAGGAAAACATTTTTGCTGACCTAGAAGAGGTGAAACAAAAAATGACAGAAGCAATAAAAGCCATCAAAATTTACATTTCAAAAACTGTTTTGAGCAGTGGGAAACGCATCTCAATAGGTGTATTTCATCAGATAGAGAGTACTTTGAAGGTGACTGAAGTTTAAACATTTAAGAAAAAATAGAATTTTTTACAATAAGTTCCAGGGGTTTTTTGGGTCCCCCTCATATACAGATACATGGCTTGTAGCATAAAAAACTCTTGTAAAATACTTTACATTCACATTAAGTATTTTTTAATTGGTAAATTTTTATTTGCTTTTTTGAACATTATGAAGTTAAGTTTTCATGTAGAAAACTAATAATGTACTTAAGCATACTGATTGAATAAAATGATAATAAATGGCACATTTTCTTAAACTCTGAAAATACCAAGTTATTGGAAAGTGACAGAAACAAACGAGAATATGTTACAAAGTTTATTGCTGAAATTATGGTGATTATTTTCAGTGAGAATGAATTTGTAAATATAACGAAAATATACAAAAGCTAACTTTCTTTTTAAATAGAATCCTATGGATGGTATAAAAAAAAAAAAAGGAAAAAAAAAAATGGAAGAAAAAACAAAAGCTAACTACTTCTGATCCTAAAAGGAATTTTCCTTTTGCTTCTATTTTACTTAGCCTTGCCATGTATCATATCAATTTTATGAGCACAATTAAATTGTTTAAATTTATGCACTTTCAGGAATTATCAGAATCTATGCTTAAACAAAAGAACTGGTCGGCTGCATTTCTGCTGTTTCACTTAATGAACACTTGGATTGTTAAAGTGTTATGAGGTTAAAACCTCGTTATTTCATATATATTGCTACCACATATAACTGATATATCAATACAAACATTGTATTGAAACTTCTGTTTAAATTACTTGTTGGACTTTATTTGCAACGTCAACTATTTAGAATCCATACTCAGCCAAATTAAATTAATATTATACAATTAATGAATAGTAACCAAGAAAAAATGTTTTTATTGTACTACTATTTTAAATATATACTCTATATTTGGCATGGAGTGACTATCCGTAACTTTTGTAATGTATTTGAATTATATTTTCTTCCTTTTATTGCCAACTTCTGATAATGAAGAAATTCTCCAGAGGGATGAGCTATATGAAGTAATCTTTTTTGAAGTAATCTTTTTTTAAAAGAATTTGGGGACAGTTATAATCTAGTTCTAAAATGTCCATTTGCTTTATATAAAGGCTTTGATTTCCATAACTGATCATTTGCTGAATATTTAAATTACACAGAAATAATGTCTGCATATAGAATAAATTTAAATATGCAAGAGCCTTAAAGTGAAAAAAATG